AAAAAAAAAAAAAAAGAAAGAAAGAAAAAAGAAGGCAAAGGAAGTTTAAGAGAGCTAGCCCTATGGACATTTGGGGAATGAGTGTTTGAGGCAGAGGAAAAAGCAAATGCACAGGTCCTCAGATGGTTATCTACCTTCTCAGTTGAGGAAATTCAAGAAAACCATGCAGATGCAGCCGAGAGAAAGGGTGAGAAGTAAACAAATGAGGGCAAGGCAGAGAAATAGGGGAGTGTCACAGATCGTGTAAGGCTCTACTAGCCACTGTAAAAACACTAGCTTTTACTCTGATGGGAAACATTCTAAACAATAGTAATGTGATCTGACTTATTTTAACAGGATCATTCTGGTAGGTATACTAAAAACACAATGAAGGGTGATAAAAGTGAAGTAAGGTGAGTTGGTGCATACTGCTGAAAAGCATAATCTTGACCAGTAGCATCAGCATCACTTGGGAGCTTATTAGAAATCCAATTTCTAAGGCCTTACCCTAGGCTTTCTGAAGCAAAAAACTCTGGAAATGAGGCCCAAGACTCTGCATTTTAATATGATTTCCAAACAATTCATACGCATATTAAAGTTTGAGAAACCCAAATCAAGAATACTCTCCTGAAATATTCACCTGGCTCATTCACCTTTCTTTCAAGTATTTGCTGTAATGTCACTTTCTCATTGAAAACTTAGCTCCACTGCTACCAATAGTAGCATAATTTCCTCTATCTTTTCCATTTCATTTTTCTCAAAGGATTTAAAACCACCTTACTTAACTTACTAAATATTTTTCATATTTATTGTGTTTGTTATCCGTTTCATCCCACTAGAATATTAACTCCATACGGTGGAAATAACCGTTTCATCATTTCTATATTCCTAATGACTAGTTCAGTTCCTGGCATGTAGTAACACCAAAAAACACAAAAATTTATTGAATAAATGAATGAATGGCAAAAAGCAAAATGATGTAAGTGCTATGTGGGAGCTAAAGTTAGGCCTAATGGAGAAGACTGAGATTAATCAAAGTCCAAATAGATAATGATCTAGCCAGGTATGGTAGCTCACCCCTATCATCCCAGCACTTTGGGAGGCCCAGGCAGGCAAATCGCTTGAGGTCAGGAGTTCAAGACCAGCCTGGCCTACACAGTAAAAC